CAATGAGGCTAGCCACCAGTATAAAGATGCTGTGCCAATCAACCTCTAGGCCATGAGGGTTTTGTTTACATTCATGGAAGAAACTAGTTCCCAAATTATAAATTATCCTTATGGGGAACCTCGGGAGCCCATTTGTAAATACCGAATCCTGTAAGTTGGGTTGTCCATAACCCAGTAACTACTTGTACTTAGAAACTTTAAAATACTGAGTATGCCGATAAGGAACAATCTGCTTATTGACAATTAAATTGAAAACATAAAACCAGTCTCCCTGCCTGGACAAGCACCTCAACTTCTCTGCCTCTGCTCAGGCTGTGTATACCATATCAAAGCTCCCTGTTGTCAGAACTTTCTGGCAAGGCCCATACAAAATGCCACATCATCTTTTCAACAGCATCCTTTGGTGAACCCTGAAATGTTGGTTAAGGCAAGTAAACATCTCAAGCATGGGAACTATCTTTCTCTTCCTTGTATTCCTTTCAGTGATACTTGTACAACAGATTGAGTTCTTCCTCTATGTCAAGTACTATGCTAAATACTTTATATATACATGTAAATTCACTAAATCATAATACCAGTAGAGGTACATATTATTCACATTTCATAAAGAGGTTAAGTAATTCACTCAAGACTTCATAAAGAGTTAACATACACAGATTTGGGATCTACAGAGTTGCTCTGTTCGATATGTTGGCCACTAGTCATACAGTGCTATTTAAAGTTAATTAGAAATGCTGCTCCTTTGTTGCATAAGCCTCATTTCAGAAGCTCACTAGCCACTTATGGCTGGAAACTACCCCATTGGAGAGTACGAATACAGAACGTTTTCATTGTTGCAGGACATTCTGCTGGACAGTACTGTCTGGATCCTAAGCACATATCCATATGTATGTATATCCGTATGTATGATTGTATGCCAGAGTATACAGTCAATGCCCATAGATATTAGATGCGTTAAAATAAAACTGAAATAGGAGAATGCAACCCTAACTGATCGTAATTCAGCTATATGCCTTTATGAGAAAGACAAAATTATGAAATTTAAGTAGCTAACCTCAAGATTGTTATATATAGTTAGTTCAATATTATAGCAGTTTATGTTATGTTCACAGAAATAATCAAGGAATTGCAAATGGATGGGGAAGGGTTAAAATCCTGTGCCGTGGGGGAAGCACTCTGATATATTTTAAAGCCTTTCAACCTCAAAGGGGGAATACAAAGGGTTTTACGGTTAGTCCCCAGTTAACCAGAAGATAGAAGTCTACCATTTAATGGAGACGCACTTGTGTTTCCTATGATTTGTTTCACGATGGCATCTTAATTTTACCATCTTCTATTTCAATTAACAACTATACAAAAAACTGCCTTAATTCAACATTAATCTTTATTTTAATAACACTTCTAGCATATATTCTACTAGTAATCCTGTAGGATTATGTGTATTTAATCTTATCCAATAGTTTAAATGAAAAAATAAAGAATAAACTATATCTGATGTAATCTAGATTAATAATACAGATCTGAAAGTAAAGATTTACTTGCATCGTCAGATTATGCTATTATTTTAGAATCTGGATGGGGAGAGTATACCATTGAAAGAGTAAAATAAAGTAGCTACAACTAATTAAACTCAGCCAGGATTCTTTCAAACATATTTGGCTAAAAAAGTATTGATACTTTCAGCATTTTACATTGGGAAGTCTGAACATCAGCAGTCAATCTGGGATCAAAGGCTCAGAGACAGACAATTTCAGAAACTACTAAAATTGTGTGAAAGACTATGTACATGTACATTTCTTTAAGTACATGGTTCCTAGCTTTCAAATTCTTAAAGGGGCAGGAATCTGTGACCTAAAAGGGGTAAGAACAAATATAATTAATAATCAGAAACAGTTTAAATGGGTATATAGATTAAAAGGAATAGTACAGTGTAGTTCTAAAAGTTAAGTCAAATAGAATTTTGAAGGGCATTTTAAATATTTCAGAATTAATTCAGAACACTTATTTCAAGTCCACCATTATACCCATGGCAAATATTCTAA